TTGAGGTACAAGACCTAAGAGTAACCTAGGAATGAAAAGGGTGCCCTTTTTGGTTTAAAGGGTGTTATAAGGGAACCTAAACCCTGAAAAAGGGAATAAGGGCCTACTCTGGGTCCTAGGGTATAAGGCCTGCCCCCTAAACCCTAAACTCACTTTTTGCAGACGGCGGGTCTCCCAAATCGGCAGTTTCTCGTCAGCCGACTTCGGCGGCAGCGGCTCCTGAACATCGGAGGGTAGCTTTCTTGCTCACCCCCGTAAGGGTCCATGTGCCCAACTAGGGTTCCTTTAAGGGTTCCTTTAAGGGGTGCCTTTAAGGGGAATTACCATAAGGGGTTTAGGGTTTAGGGTTTGAGGGTCCTGCTGTAAAAAAACAATTTTTTGCAGCAGCAGCCATCGAGTCCAACGTTATGTGCAGCGCAGCATTTATCGTGCCCAAAGCCATGAGGAGCACTAGTTACGAAACGTTAGCACCGAGTAGTTGCAGCTGGCGTCGGCTTGAGCATCCTACCGAGTTAGTTGTCCATGTACCCAAATAGGGTTCCTTTAAGGGTTCCTGTAATTTAAGGGTACCATAAGAGGTTTAGGGTTTAGGGCTGAAGGGTCCATGTATTCAAATAGTATACTTGGGGCCCAGTGTAGTTACATAGGGTTTGGGTACATGGACCCTTCGGGTTACAAGTTATAAGCTTTAGAGTTTAGGGGTTTAGGGCTTAGTAAACTTGAGCTTAGGAGCTAAGGGTGGTTTAGGGCTTCAGTCTTCGTAGGTTTTAAGGTTAGCGATTCTCGCTTCTTTGGATTTTCAGGGCAGTTCTGGGCAGGGGCGATTTTGAATGCTTGGGCTATGGCAAAATACACAGTTTGCTGAAGATGGAGGAAAAACTAGTTGAAGGCAGATTGTCTTCTTGCTGGGAGAGAGCTGTGAGTCATGTGTGCTTAAAGGTAAGCGATGGGCAGCTGAGAGAGTGTCGCACATGATTGAAAGCCAACCCTAAACCCTAAACCCCAACATCAACAGATTCAACCCTGGACCCGCCCCCGAATCCGGATCCCAAACCTGACAGCCAAATCCGAGGCTTGGCATGTTAGGGGTTTAGGGTTTATGGCTTAGGGAGGGGCACGGAAAGGAAACACATTGTAGAACGAGGACGCGAAAGCTTACGTCTTTTACAGTCTCAGAAAATCGAAGTTGAGAAACGGCACATGAGCATACGCCCGAACACACCCTAAGTTAAGTAGCCAAAGGATCCCCAAGGCGAGTGCTTCAATTATCCTGATGCCCTTACGGTAAAGTATAGGGAATCCCAGACGAATCATCCTAAATCCATGCTCCAACTTTCTGGGGTTCACTATTGCTAGTTCGCTTGTAGAATAGACAGGACCCTGCACTTTGGATTCAGGGTTCTCTTTTTGAAAATTGAATTGCTTTGGTGTTTAGGGTTTAGGATCATACGACGAGGATCGCAAACACCTTATGCAAGCTGGTGTGTACCGAGTTTACTGTACTAACGAAGCCCTTGTGCGCGGCGACAGATGAGGTAGTCTATATTCAGGCTTCGATGATTCCGCTCCAACCTGCCAAACCCCAACAACTGGGAGTGAAAACCCCAAAGGCCAGGACAAACACAGTAGGGGTTTCAACCCAAAGCAAATCCGATCGAAACCCTAAGCCCTAAACTCTACTTGGGAAAAGAACCCCAAACCCTGAACCCTGCGCCGTAAACCTAAACCGTGGACACCTAAATGCCCCCAACCGCCTCAAGCAGTCGGCGGAACACCTGCAGGTACGCCTGGGATTCGGAGCACAGCTCCCTTCAGCTTGCCCTAAGGATCTAAGGACTCATAATTTGAGGCTTTTGGGCCTAAAGACCATATTATACATGGCTTTTGGGCCATTTTGAGCCTTAGGGTTAGGGTTCGGGTGTCGGGGGTTCAAGGGTTTTCGAGTTTGGGGGTGCAGAGGATTTTTGGTTTAGGGGTTTGGGCGTTTAGGGTTTAGGGGTCACCTGAACCTACGCAGACCTACTTCTTTGTAGACTGGGGCTCCTGCAAGAAATTAGTTCATGGCAGATTACCAGGCAAGGTTTGAGGCTTAGGGTTCGCGAGCAAATATGATGGCAAAACTCTCTCTCTCTCTCTCTCTCTCTCTATATATATATATATATGCACATCATATTGGGACTCAAAGTTTGTAAGGGCAGAAATTTGACGTATATTTGCTCATATGACGGATTCTGCAACTAATTGCCTTGCTTCTGTCATGGCCAGACTACCTACTGTGCAGGACCGACTCGAGGCTGTATTGAAGTAAAGGGCTGAACCTGTCAACTGCGACCATACCCTAGGGATCAAAATAGACCAAAAGCCTTCTTTGGGCCCCAAAGCCTCAATATTAATATGAGTCCCTAGATCCCTAGGGATAGGGGCTCTACCAAAGGTTACTTGGGTCCTGGCGCCCAGAAAACTCGTGAGCGCTCCATTACATCCCCGAAGCCTGCTCGCTACTTGGAGGATCTTAGTAAGGGTCCTTAAAGGGCTCTTTAAAGGGATCTGTACGGTTCCTTAGAGGGATCTATAGGGTTTAGGGCTTAGGGTCTACTTGGAGGATCATGGGACTTAATAAGTAAGGTGAAAAGTACCTTAATTGGAGTTATGTAGTTATAAGTAAAGTTACTCTAATTACAAGCCCAGTTACTAAGTCCCATGATCCTTTAAGTAGGCGTCATGCGAGCTCCATGCGCTTGAGCTTTAGACCGAACAGTGTACTGTGGGCTAAGGGGCCCTTCATAATTAGAGTAGGTATTGGGTGTTATATAGTGTAAGTATATCAAGGAACCGTAAATACTTAGGAATAATGTTGGCAAATATCTTGGCCTCGAGTGTCAACCCAGATTTCGGGATTCTCATGTCGATCTAACCATATCCTGGATACAAGGCTTACGGTATAAGAGCTCAAAATCTGAAAGGCCCGAATTCCCGCACCCTGGTCAGATATCTAACCCTAAGGTGTCCATGTACCTAAATAGTATATACATTGGCCTTAAAGTACTCTCTATATGGGTACATTGGGCCCAAAGTATATACTATCTGGGTACATGGACCCTTAGGGTAAAGATACCTGACATGCTGGAACCGAAACCCCCATCCTTCTGTCCCCGCGCAACAGCCGGCACCCAGACCCTCGAACCTAAGCCCTTTTTTAGGGTACCTACTTTTCCGTACGACAGCTCTTAGCATAAAACTATGTACCTCAAAGGGGCATACAGGGGTGGAGTATGACCCTCCCAGTCAAGTGCTAGACCCTGAATCCTCAAATTCAGCAATCCAACCCCTCAGGCGAAAAGACCTTCCTGCACCCGCCTCCCCAACCCAATCTGCCGCACGCTGAGCCCTGTACTTAAAGGATCATGGGACTTAGTAGCTAGAGTTATAATTAAGGTAACTCTACTTATGAGTATTTATAACCCCAACTACCGTACTTATAACCCTACTTACTAAGTCCCATGATCCATTAAGTATCCTAAGGCCGAGCCTGCTGTAAAACGTTTCATGGCCGCTTCAGGAACTAGGGGAGCCTGAAAACTTAGATTGCATAGAACCTAGAGGCTCATACCCTAGCCCATGTTTAGGATACCTAGTTTTATGGGTAGGATCTGTTATCTTCAAAGGTAGGCGCCCTAAAGAAGGGGTAGGGTATGAGCCTCTAGGTAGGATCCCAGTTCCCATATCAACGAGGATCCTTTGAATTCATTCAGTTTTGGACGCGCTCTTGCCCCAAAATCCTGATGCCTCAAAGCCTGAAGCTTTGGAGTTCGGGTTTTGGGTGGCTTCTCGAATCATTTACGCGGTTTGCGCTGGGCGCCGTTAGGGCCGCAGGCCCAGAACCCTGGTCCAACACCTAAAGTCTAAACCCCCGAACCACAAAATCCGAACATCCGCGATGCCCTGAAGCAGGCCTTGATTTTTAGAGCCCCCACAACCCTAAACCCTAAACCCCTTCGCCCTCCGACCTCCAGGTTCTGGGAGCCTTGAACATGTTGGTCAACACCTCGGGAAAATTTAGGGCTACAGCGTTCAGGATTTAGGGTACTTGCTAAGCCCTACCCAGAGAGCCCAATACCACTCAATTAGGGAATATGGCTTAAATTATATAGGGATTCAAAATATGATTTAAGCTATATTCCTTAATTAAGGGGTATTGGGCTCTCTGGGTACATGGTTCTAGACAGGGGATTTAAAGCGGGGTCTCGCATAGATGCATCTGAGCTCACTTGGTGAAGGAGCTCAAGTCAGCAAAGACAATGTACTTAACAGCTGATGAATGAGGAGATACATTCTCCTGGTAGCTTAATTGAGTAATACCATAAAACCCCAAGCCCCAAAAACAAGTATAACCCCCAACCCCTACACGCTGACCCAAAACCCCGAAACTGTAGCGAGCGGGCGGCGCTGTGGATGGCAGCTGCGAGCGATACTGCGATCCAGCCGTGGACAAACCCTAGTAGCCAGTTTCTGCCTGATGGGGGAACCCTAAATAAACCCTAAACCCCTAAACCCCAAAACCCCTACATCCGGCGAGGATGTCCTTGGCTTCACATCCCTGCAGCCAGAAACCACCCCGACCCCAGGGAGGATCTAGAAAGTAGATCCCCTAATTTTGGCGCCCTATACTACTAAGGGTACTTTGTCGGAACTCCCATTAAATAATGTACTTCTTGGATCCTCCCGGGGGTCTGGGACATTGCCCCAAGATCTCACACGGCCACGAGTGTCCTGGATTTGGGAACCTTTTGAGCCCAGCAAATCATCAGAGCCGAACAGTCCGAGAGCCCACAACCGGCACGGGTTCTGCAAGTAGTCATAGTTATTAGAAAGGTAAACAAACAAAACTATTTTATGATAAGTTTAAACATAGCCTTAAAGCCAAGTCGGGGCAGAAGCCACAAGGCAAAGTTTGCAAGAAGATTCCAGCTCCGCGGCACAAGAAAGAATCAATAGGGCTGCTACATGCCAAAGCCAGCCAGAACCAGCAAGACAAACCTTGCAAAAGGCTTTCCAGCTCCGCTTAGATCAATTCCAGCCAAAACCACGCGCCAAATCCAAGTGCCGAGATAGCAGGAGGCAGAACACCAGACGGTACACAACTTGAAGGAACCTTAAACCCTAAACCTTTAGCCTAAACCCCATAAGGTTGAGATGTCTGGAGATCGCTAAATGCCCGGCACGTCGCCACGACCCTTTAGGTCAAGGCCTGCCGGCTCTTGCGAAACCCCTAAAGCGCTATAAAGCCATAAAGCCCCAAAACCCCAAGTCCCGAAAGTCCTACAAGCCCTATGAACCCCCCAGAGTCGCGTCAAGTCCGATATTTACAACGGCTGATGGGTGTGCGGGCTTGGGGGGACCTGGTGTTTAGAGTTACGTAGGGATTCCTGTGATGGGTGCTACAAGGCTTCCGTTAAGGGTTCTAGAAGGTTCTAGGGTCAAGGGTTTCAGTTGTGAAGGTTCTTAGGGCTTTGGGGTTGCAGAGTAGCGAAAAGGATAGAGAGGAAGAGACGCGGACAAATAGACAGTGCTAGCTGTCCCTGCAACTTTAAGCCAGGGACACACCAGCCCTGGCCATGCAAGCACTGCACAGCCTCAGAACTCATAATATTCAACTGGCTCCACAACCCAAAACCACCAAACTATCATTTACACAAAAACCTACGAATCTCAATTCCCGAGCCCTAAACCCTAAACCCGAAATCCTAAACCCCAACCCTAAACGAAAAACCCTATACTATAAACCACCCATTTCAGAGACTCAAAGATGTGGGGCCCCGGCCCTCACAGCTCACCAGCGTGACCGGGACGGACGTGTAGCCCCAACCTACTTGGAGGATCATTGGACTTAGTAAGTAAGGTTATAAGTACCTCAATTGGGGTTATAAGTAGCTTTAAGTAGAGTTACCTTAATTATAACCCTAGTTACTAATTCCCATGATCCTTTAAGTACGGGCTTTAATCGGCTTCAAACCTCTAAACCCCAGAGAATGCACCCCACCTATGATATCTGCCGCTAGGCTTTATCAGAAAATCTGGGTTTCAGGGGTAGAGTTGTACTATAACCCTCCAAACCCCAAAGCCCAATACGCCCAAATCTCGGAGCCCCCAGATCAACTAACCCCAAAACCTTAACCGCTCTGAACTTTCAGAGCTTCTGCCCGCATGCTGACATCTGGAAGCATGTCGAGGACAATGCAACAAAGCACCAGGGTTGCCGGGATTTGGGAAGACTCGAGTGTGAATGAATGTTGTCTAGGACGTTTGGTTGGAAAAGACAATCAACACAACCCGATGATTGCACGACGAGCCACCATAGAAAATCTCGGCATACTTCTGCTGGATGTCGAAGGTCCCTTCGCCACTTTGCAGCCACTCACGGAGGCCCTGATTTGTTCCAGTATGGGGTTCCTTTAAGGGTCCCTTCAAGGGAAGCCCATTCAAGAAGCCTAAAGTACCCGAGCCGATGAGCAAAAGCTACGGTGCTGGAGTTGTTTGTCTGTTTTGTTTGGTGAACTGCAGGCAGTAATCCTACCCCAAGGGCTCCAAAAACTACCCCAGGGGCTTCAAAAAGCCCAAAGTAGGTAGTATTTATAGACTTTAGACCCCAAAGTAGGTACTGTTTGTATACTTGGAGCCCTGGGGTACGGCTGAAAAGGCACAAACAACGCATGTACTCTGATCCTTTGGCTCCATAGCCCGAAGCGACACCGTTAATGGTAACTCGGTTCTTGTCGGCTTATCTCTAAACTCTAGCCCGGCTAACTTGTACCGGAAGAGGACGGCAGCAAACGCAGCCACACGAACCAAACGAACTTTCGAGTTGGAGTTGCATTATGTAGTTACGGTTGAATCGCATCTTAGAACACGGCGGTTTATTGACGCAAGGCTGGCTTACATGGACATACGGTGCATCATAGAATCCTACTCATCATCGTCAACACCACCACCGTCACCATCAGCACCACCACCATCATCAGCATCATTGTCTGCATCACTATCGACATCGTCATCGTCACCGTCGTCGTCATCATCACCAACAGCATCCACACGCATTCTCCGCTACGGTTCTAGATTGGCTAACCCCATCGGAAGAATCAACTCGTGACTCCAAAACCGAAGCTTTGCCCTAACGGTCCACGTACCTAAATAGTATATACATTGGCCTTAAAGTACTCCCTATACGAGCCTATATGGGCACATTGCCCCCAAAGTATATACTATTTGGGTACATGGACCCTTAGGGTTGTAGACTCACCACATTCCTGGGTCGCCTCAACTTCGACTTTGCCAAGCTCCAGCATGAGCCCTTCATAGCCTTCTCCCTACTGCATTCGCAGACAGCTCCTCTCAGACCGTTATCACATGACCTATCTGACCTTGCCCCTAAACTTTGGGCCATGATAAGTAGAACCTGTTGGCGGGGTATCTTGTAGTACTGCTTTGTGAACCTCATGTGCTAAAACACCCTTTTACACCAGAAACTTATCAAACCATGAATGCAGCCGTGGTAAAAACATCTTACAAGCATAATTTTCATTCAAGGGTCAAGTGACCCTAAGGGTCCATGTACCTAAATAGTATATACATTGGCCGTAAAGTACTCCCTATACGGGTACATTGCCCCCCCAAGTATATACTATTTGAGTACATGGACCCTTAGGGTTGTAGACTCACCACATTCCTGGGTCGCCCTAAACCCTAAACCCTAAACCCTGGACCCTTATGGTGATGCAACCCTAAACCCTAAACCCTGCCTCCACTCGAACTTTTGCCTCGGCTGCGGCCTGCACTTCGTGGGATAACGACTTTTGCACTAAGGCTCTAAGACTCATATGTTGTATGGCTTTTGGGCCTAAAGACCATATGTTGTATGGCTTTTGGGCCTAAAGACCATATTATGTATGGCTTTTGGGCCTAAAGACCATATTATGTATGGCTTTTGGGCCATTTTGAGCCTTAGGGTAGCGAATTAATCGGGATAGGGTTTATGGGATTTGGGAATCCCTAAAATCTTGTGCTGGGGGGTTTGGGTTTCCTAAACCCAGAACCTCAGCCCAAGTTTTGAACCCTGGCCCCAACAGCATTTTGGGGTCAGGTTTGGTGCTTGTGCTTCTTGGGCGTAGTGTCTGCACGCTGTGTACGTTACATTCCCGTTACAGCTGGGCTGCTTCAAGTTACTGGTGTCAAGGGGTCTTGCTTTCGCGTTTCAGATTCCGGTCGATCCTGCTTGCGTAGGAGGGCCGGACTCTGGCCGGGGAATGGGCCTGACGCTCAAGCGAAAGCTGGTGGACCTTTGAGACGAGGAAAGGAACTGCAGCGACCACAGTGACATATCTGTCTACCGCTGTACAGCCTGTGAAAACCACCAACCTCTTTGAGCATTGCTGACAAACGGAACCCGCAGCGATTACACTGGGAGATCTACTGTGCATCCTGCGAGAGGAGTGACATCCGCGAGCAGTGTCGCAGAAGAATCAGCAGCAAGATCAGGTTGATGGCAGCAAAGATGCTCGCTCCGGCAAGCGGGTTCATGACCCGCATCAGCATTGTCTGCCTGCAGTAATGTAGGGGCGTTACTAATTCAAACACGGTTTGGGGGTATATTGTACAGAAAATATCCTACAACTATAATAAGGAACTGCCAAGATAGTATTGGCAGTTATTGACAAATAGGCTGGCGCCTGGACGAGAATCCTGAATAATACTGGTCATTTTCAACGTTGCTGTATTATAATGTCCATCGTGCCGCCGTGGGGCATGGTAAGAATGGCACCCGCGACCGGAAAGCCAGCAACGAACACTGCAAAGGTCACTAGCTCGTTTGCCCACAGTTGTTGCCGCTGGCGCCGAGCCTTGCATGCCAGGATGATCCCGAGACGTCCTATGAAAGGAAAGGCCAGGAACGAGAAAGTCAGGGTGATGATGGCCGTTACGGCCGCATCCTTCATGTCCCCCGCACGCAATCGGGCAGCCACCTGGTCCATATACCCCCAGTAAAATGGAGCCGAGACCATCAAGAGCCACCGGTAGGAGAAGGATGAATCTCCGAGGGCTCTGGCCAAAGCGGCGGACACGTCGGTAGCGACCAACTTTTCGAAAGCAGACTCGGTGCCGAACCACTTGCGAATGCAAATGCTGATAATCTCACGGTCACAATAAGGATTGGAGTCATCTTCTGTGTGACCCTCCATGCAGCATTGGCACTTGGCCTCTCGGATGCGGAAGTTGCGAAGCTGGACAAGCATGCCTGAGTTGCCGAGTATACACGACCAACAAAAGCAATCTTCCAGCTTCTAACGGGGTTGTATTAACAAAACCCTAAACCCTAAACCTTAAACCCTAAATAGCTTACTAACTCGGCTGCTCGGGAACCCTCCACAGCTGCAAAGTAGCTCCGTAAGGAGCGTGCAGCAAAGTGCCCACCAGCAAGGAAGAGGACGGAGAAGATGATCCAGCCAAGTAGAAGGTCCTGGGTTGGCCTTTAAACGCCCTGAAAAATATTTATATATAGGGTCCCTTAAAAAACCCAAATAAGGAAAACAAAAATGTCCCAAAATCCAACCTAGGGTCGTCAAAGGGGATGACCATGAAGCTGACATGAGCCACAAACAAAGAAAAAAACGTAGCTATGGAGCTCGTTCCAAGCATAGTCGGCCTGATGACCAATGTCTTGGCACGCCCAGAATCCTAGGCTGTTCAGCAACCCACTAGGAAATACTTGAACATATTGTAGTAGAAACCCAGAAGCAAAGAAAAATGTATAGCATTGAACATCCGAAAATCTGAAAGTTTGCAGCTTCCGAGGAATGCTCCGACCTCAAAGACACACCAGAGCCTCTGGGTCAGTTTTCTGCGAGACATTTAGGTCTTAGGGTTTGGGGCTTTGGGTTTAGGATTTAGGAATGCCTTGAGGTTTTCAACCCATGGAACCCTACAAGCGTACATGCCTGGGCGGTTAAACCTCTGGATTTCTGTCCACGGAAATATTTATGTGGTTGAAACTCATGGAACAAAGGTTTGGGCCATCGAAAATGACTGCTTAAAGATCTGGGCGTGATGGGCCTCAAACCCCCTGTTGAGAGGAGCCTTTATGATATCATTTAGCTTCGCAGTGGCTCGAGCGGACTCCAGCTAGCTTCACGTTTACGGGAATCTGCATCACAATGCTTAGACAAAGTTGAAGTCTTAGCACAAAGCCACGGTTGACAAAACGTGAGTACAAGAACTCATCGCAGGATCACGAATGCAAACCCTTACCCACTCCACTGGCTGTTCCCCGGAGGGTCAATGTGCCCAAATAGCATATACATTACTTCAAGTATTCCCTAGAGATAGGTACATTGGGCCCAAAGTGTATCATAATGGGTCATTTGAACCTTCAGCCTGTTTGAGCGATCCTGCCTCTCCACAAACGTCTCATCCCACCACACGTGTAAGGATTCAGAGCTCTGCAGGAAAGCTCCCATGCTGAGCAGAGCTTCTGACTTTAAGCCTGGATCTGACTGATGTATGCACATCACATCCACGAAAATCGGGGTGCGACACTGCCACCCGATTAGGGTAACAATTGCGACGAGAGTTCCGCCTACCATTCCCCAGATGCCGAACAAGTAGGAGTCCCTCCCCGTCTGCTGGAAAGGTGCCCTTTCATAGCCGGGAAGATAGCCAGCCACGAAAAGACAGACAAGAAGAAGTGATGCCAAAGTTCCCGCAGAGATGGCTGCAAGGCCGTTCTTCTGCACCATTACCGTGGAAATCTTCCGCAGGGCGCTTCCATGCCAAGAGTGCGACCAAAACTCTTGAATCTTGTCTGTTGGAAAGCTCCTGTGGTAATCTGCCGCTTTGGGGAAGCGAAAAGCCCAGCCGAAGCCCCTTAGGGCTTCGTAGCACGGGGTGGCCCGGATGATGTCCCCTCGGGTGGCCTGAAAGTCCGCAATGTAGCCTATACTGAACTTAGCACCCTAGCAAAAAATATAATTTTAGATGTTTATTAGGGACTATAATAACCAAAAATTACAAACTATTTCTAAGTACCCCTAAGTAGCTTGCAGCTCGCTCGTACACGTCTGAGATCGGGATGCGAGCCTCTTCCTGGCTCTGGTCTGATCCCTCCAGTTGCTCGTCTGCATCCTTGTCGGATGGGTCCAAACTTGAACCGATGATCCTGACGAATTCGTCCGCGACAGGAGAATCCCAAACTTCGAAGTCCATGGAAGCCGATAGCCCGGGCTTCTTAAATTTGCGCTTCTTTTAGCTTCCGGAAGGTCTTCCCGCCTATGAAGGAAGGAAGGCGACACATCTGCCAGACTTGGGCATACCGGCAGCGGATGCAACTTGTTGCGAGGGCGCTTATCTTCCAATCGAAAAATGGGCCGACTTGCGCTAAACTGGATAGTAGATGACAGACACTTATAGACTTATAGACTAATAGATGGTAGATTAAAGATGGTATATGGTAGATGGCATTTATGAGATATAATTAGTAGGTAGAACGTCGATAGTAACCAGTAGAAACTACTAATAGCGTTACTACTGGTGGTACTTTTTTCATTCAGCAATCGTAGTGGTGGTAGTAGTCGTAGTAGCAGTAGTAGAAGTAGTAGCAGCAGCAGCAGCAGTAGCGGTCGTCGCAATAGCAGAAGACGCCGTGGTGGTGGTAGTAGTAGTAGCAGGAGCAGCAGCAGCAGTAGCAGTACCAGTAGCAGTAGCAGCAGTAGTAGTAGTAGTTGTTGTTGTTGGTAGTAGTCAGTAGTAGTAGTAGTAGTAGTAGTAGTAGTAGTAGTAGTAGTAGTCGTCGTCGTCGTCGTAGTGGTAGTGGTAGTGGTAGTGGTAGTGGTAGTGGTAGTGGTAGTGGTAGTGGTAGTGGTGGTAGTGGTAGTGGTAGTGGTAGGTGGGTGTGGTGGTGGGTGGTGGTGGTGGTGGTGTGGTGGTGGTGGTGGTGGTGGTGGTAAGTGGGTAGTGGTAGTGGTGGTAGTGGTAGCGGAAAAGGTAGTGGTAGTGGTGGTGGTAGTAATAGTAGTAGTACCAGAAGTAGCAGCAGCAGCAGCAGTAGGTGGAGGTGGTGGTACTGGTAGAAATGGTAGAAGTGGTAGAAGTGGTAGTAGTAATAGTAGTGGTAGTGGTGGTAGTGGTGGTAGTGGTGCTGGTTGGGGGTTAGTCAGTGGTTTGGTGGTGGTAGCAGCACTTCCAGTAGAAGACATTGTAGTAGTAGTCGTCCTCGTAGCAGGAGGAGTCGAGGTAGTGGTCGTAGTAGTCGTCGCAATAGCCCTCGTCGAAGTCGCGGCAGTCGTGGTAGTCGTCGGAGAATAGTCGTGGTGGTCGTCGTAGCTGTAGTATTACTCGTCGTCGTGAGGGCGGTAGTCTTGTGGTAGTGGTGGTGGGTCGCAGCAGAGCACTACTACGAGTACGAGTACTGGTACTAGTACTAGTACCAGCACCACCAGCACCACCAGTACTAGTACTAGTACTAATTAGTAGAATATTGGTAGCAGTATGACAGTAGTCTACAGTATCAGTAGCAGTAGCAGTCGAAGTAGCAGTAGCAATAGCAGTAGCAGTAGCACTAGCAGCTGTAGAAGCAGCAATAGTCGTCCTCGTGGTAGTGGAAATAGCCGTGGGAGTGGTTGTGGTAGTAGTGGTAATTGTAGTGCAGGGGGTCAGCGGTAACAGTATGGGGTAGGGTAGTTGCAGTGGTGGTGGTAGTGAGTGGAATGGGCAGGTGGCAGGTGCAGTAGTGGTGGCTGGTAGGAGTGATATCGTAGTGAAAGAGCTAGCTGACGGCGTCTACGGGGTCTAGGTTTCTAACAGTTTCAGATTTGGGGCTTGCAGGGTTTCGGGGCTCCCCCGCTTGAGTGTTTGCGCAGTAATTCAATCCCTGTTGCGATTGCGGCAGCACTGCAGAAATGTTTAAGGGAGCGATGGAACACAACCCTAAACCCTGCACCCTAAGCCCTAAACCCTAAACCCCTAAACCCCTAAACTCCTAAACCCTAAACCCTCTCAAGGGACTACTACTGCAAGGTGTATTGGTTGTGATCTTGCTATATAGGTTCTGGTCGATGATGCCTTACTTGGAAGTTCATGGGTAGTTATAAGTGGGGTTATACGTCCCCTAATAGTAATAGAGGTTATCCTACTTATAACCCTACTTATAAGTACCCATGGACCTCCAAGTAACTTCGTTGTGGAGGGAAGGTCGAGCTCTGGGCGTGACATGGTTTCCGAAAAAAGGGGAACCTGATTTTGGGATCCTTATAATAACGACTCTACTATTTAGGGTACTATATTATAGGGTCCCCTCTTTTCGGAAACTCTCACATGGGGTGACCTTTTGCCGAGGAAGGGAACTGCAGCGACTACACAGGGATATCTGTCATAGACTCTGCGAAGGAAGCGACAACTGCGAGCAGTGCCAAAACAGAAACCGCAGCGCTTACGCTGGGATATCTACTACATCCTGCGAAAGAAGTGACATCCGCGAGCATTGCCGAAGAAGAACTATCAGAAATATCAGATTGATTGCGGCAAAGATGATCGCTCCGGCAAGCGGGTTCATGACTCTCAGCAGCAAACTCTGCCTGCAGTATTCAACACTTCGACAAGAAGGGAGAGAGAGAGAGAGAGAGAGCCTCGAATCTGTTCTGTAGTATGTAATATGGGGCCTTAGTAATTACAATAGGGATTTGGGGGGCCCATCAAACTATACTCATAATAATATTTAGGCCCCTATGTTATGCTACCATGTCCATCTTGCAGCCATGGGGCGTGGCAAGAATGGCCCCTGCGACCGGAAAGCCAGCAATGAACACTGCAAAGGTCACTAGCTCGTTTGCCCACAGTTGCTGCCGTTGGCACCGGGCCTTGCATGCCAGGATGATCCCGAGACGTCCTATGAAAGGAAAGGCCAGGAACGAGTAAGTCAGGGTGATGATGGCCGATACAGCCGCGGCTTCCATGTCGCCTGCACGCAATCGGGCCGCCACCTGGTCCATATGCCCCCAATGAAACGGAGCCGAGACCATCAAGAGCCACTGGTAGGAGAAGGATGAATCGCCGAGTGCTCTGGCCAACGCGGCAGACACATCTGTGGCGACCAACTTTTCGAAAGCAGATTCATCGCCGAACCACTTGCAAATGCAAAGGTTGATGATTTCACGGTCACAATAAGGATTGGAGCCATCTTCTGCGTGACCCTCCGTGCAGCATTGGCACTTGGCGTCTCGGATGCGGAAGTTGCGCAGCTGGACAAGCATGCTCTCCACAGCCGTGAAGTAATTCCGCAAGGAGCGGACACCAAAGTGCCCACCAGCAAGGAAGAGGACAGAGAATATGACCCACCCAAGCAGCAGATTGCCAAAGGGACTGACCATATAACTGAGCTGGGCCACGAATAGTGAAAAAAATGTAGCTATGGAGCTCGTCCCCAGCATAGTCGGTGTGACGGTCAATCTCTTGGCACGCCCGGAATCCTAGGCTGGCCAGCAGCCTACTGGGAAAAAGTGTACTCGTGCGGTGGAAACCCAGAAACAAAAAAAGAAAACGAATGACACTGAACTTAGGTACTGCCCCCATACAGTCAGAGTCTACAATAGGCCTACTATTAAGGTCCCAATATATCTATACTATGAATATTATTCAACTATTACTGAGTGGGGGCCGTACCCGACACTGAACAACCTAGAATCTGAAAGTTTGCAACTTCCGAGATATGCTCCGAGCTCAAAGACGCACCAGAGCCTCTGAATCGTAGTTGCGAGAGACCGACCCTAAGGGTCCATGTACCCAAATAGTATATACTTTGGGCCCAATGAGCCCATATAGGGAGTACTTTAAGGCCAATGTATATACTTTTTAGGTACATGGACCCTTAGGGACAATGCCAAATTGACTCTTACAAGAACATTCAAGCGGTTGACGGCTGAAGCGGCTGAAATGCTTTGAGATGCCGAAACGTTTTAAGCAAGACTTGTTAAACTTCTGGGCGAGACTAAGCCTCAGCAACCCGTGGTTCACTATATTTGTTGCTGGCGATGGCTGTTCTTAGCCTAATTCAACGAACCTACATCACTTGAAGGCTTAAACACCCTAAACCCCTAAAACCTAGGTGTCTTGACGGAACCCTTTGCTCGTAGCGACCCTGCCTCTCCACAAACGTCTCATCCCACCACACGTGTAAGGATTCAGAGCTCTGCAGGAAAGCTCCCATGCTGAGCAGAGCTTCTGCCTTTAAGCCTGGATCTGACTGATGTATGCACATCACATCCACGAAAACCGGGGTGCGACACTGCCATCCGATGAGGGTAACAATTGCGACGAGAGTTCCGCCTACCATTCCCCAGATGCCGAACACGTATGGATAAGGCGCCCTTTCATAGCCGGGAAGATAGCCAGCAACAAATAAACAAACAAGAAGAAGTGACGCCAACGTTCCTGCAGAGATGGCTGCAAGGCCATTCTTCCGCACCATTACCGTGCAAATCTTCCGCAGAGTGCTTCCATGCCAAGAGTGAGACCAAAACTCTTGAATCGTGTCCTAGGAAGTGCAAAATGAAGGCCTTTGAAAAATAGCAGTAGGTAAGATCCTCTTAAGCCCAATAAGAGCAAATATAAAATGTCCCAAGGCCCTACCTAGTGTCTGTAGGAAAGCTCCTGTGGTAATTTGCTGCTGCCGGGAACCGAAACGCCCTCCCAAAGCACCTTAGAGCTTCGTAGCACGGGGTGGCTCGGATGATGTCCTGGCGGGTGGCCAGAAAGTCCGCAATGTAGCTTGCAGCTCGCTCGTGCGCGTACGAGATCTGTATCCGAGCCTCATCCTGGCTCTGGCCTTCCTCCTCTGCATCCTTGTCGGATAGTAGGTCCGCACTTGAACCGATGATCGTGACGAATTCGTCCGCGACAGGAGATTCCAAACGATCGAACTCCATGGAAGCCGATGGCCCAGGCTTGCTAAGCTTGTTTCTGGAACTTCCGAAGCTATGCTTCGTCCATGAAGCAGGGAAGGCGACACATCCGCACAACTTGGGCATGACATCAGCGAATGCAAGCTGTTGCAAGAGCGCTAATATTATTCAAGACCAAAACATGGGGCTAACTTGTGCCTTGCTAGACTAGGTGTCGATTTCAACAGTCCCCAAATTTGTTTCTAATTAGGGATCTATGCTTTACACGATACGGGAATGTAAAATGTCCCAAAACGATAGCTAGTAGAGAATGGACAGTTTATAGATGGTAGATACCAGATGGTAGACGGTACCAAGATGCTGATCGATGGTGTCGCTCTGAAGTAGACAGTCGGTACTATGTAGCAGTCGACAGTAGATAGTAGATAGTATAGTAGATAGTAGTAGCAGTAGTCTTAGCAGTAGTAGTAGTAGTAGTAGTAGTAGTAGTAGTAGTAGTAGTAGTAGTAGTAGTAGTAGTAGTAGGAGTAGGAGTAGGAGTAGGAGTAGTAGTAGCGGCAGCAGCAGCAGCAGCAGCAGGAGTAGTAGTAGTAGTAGTAGTAGTAGTAGTAGTAGTCGTCGTCGTATCTAGTAGCGATTAGCAGTAGTAGCAGTAGTAATTAGTGGAAGCAGTAGTAGCAAGGAGGAGGAGGAGGTCAGCGCTTTCAATGCGAATATATGTCCTGAGCGAATCAATGGCAAGCCCTACTTGGAGGATCATATGGGACTTAGCAAGTAAGGCTATAAGTACCTTAATTGGGGTTATAAGTAGTTATAAGTAGAGTTACCCTAACTATAACCCTATAGTTACTAAGTCCCATGATCCTTCAAGTAGCGGTCACGACGGTTTAGGATTCAGGTCTGTTGGTCAAGGTTGAGAGTTAGGGATTTAAAATTTAGGGTGAGAATTCAGTTTGCTGCAAGGTGTCCTCCAGTAGCACGTCGTGGTCAGACAACGGGCAGCCCTCCGAGAAGTACTTGCCTGAGGCACCGTGCCCCGAAACATACGCAACAAAGCCCGAAAACAGGACTTGAGCAACCAAATCCTTCAAACACCAAACCTTACATCCCATACAGGAAGACCAAACAGGCAAAGAGTCAGACGAATGAGTGCGCCATGCACGCCGCACAATTGCCGCGCGACATACGCTATGCCTTTGCACCTTGAGCATACAGGCATGGCCCCTGCATGCAACCTTGATGCCGTGGCACCTCCTCCCGCTACCCGCTGAGTGACGCCACGTCAGAAACTTTGTCTATGTGTCAAGCTAGCCAAAGGCTCCATGTACCCTTATAGTAGATACTTACGCCTTGAAGGGGTCCCTATATAGGTACTTTAAGGCCTAAGTATATACTATTAGGGTACATGGAGCCTTAGGGCTATCTGAGCCCGAAGCCCTGAACCCGAACTCCGAACCCGGACCGCCGCCAAACAATACCGCCCATCTGGGTGAACAATACTTGGAGGGGCAGGGGACTTAGTAAGTCTTTCATAAGTAGGGTTATAATAGGGGTAACTCCATTTAGGGTACTTATAACTCTACTTATAACCTACTTACTAAGTCCCCTGCCCTTCCAAGTAACAGATGGGCGGAACATTGCTGCATCAGCTTAACGGTTTATGGGTCTAGCGGTGCAGGGGTTTAGGGTTTAGGGGGTTTATGAAGCTTCCCTAAACCCTAAACCCCTAAACCCCTAAAACCTTAAACCGAAGGTGGAGGACTTCGGGTTTGAAGGTTTAGGGATTAAGGGCCTGAAAAGGTTTTAAAGTTTAGGGCTTTAGGGTGTAGAGGTGATGCTTGTAGGGTGGAGAGATCCGAGAGTCTCCAATATCCCTTAATTAAGGAATAGACCTTAAAATATAATGGGGTCCCTAATACGATTTAAAGAATATCACTTAATTAAGGAATATACCTTAAATTATAATGGGGATCCCTAATATGATGTAAGGAATATTCCTTAATTAAGAGACTTCAAAATGAAAAGTATAGGGCTTAAGGTTCAGGCTCCAGGCTGCAGGGTTCACGGCTTCAGGGCTTAGGGCTTTTAGAATTTTAGAATCTGCCCAAAGGCTCCATAGTAGTTCCTTTTTGGGATTACCATATAGGATTCTAAATATGGCCCCAAAAAAGGAACTAGTATGGAGCCTTAGGGTAATGTGAAAGTCTGAAGCCCTTTGCATATTCTGTTTTGGTCTGCACGTAGAACAGAGAAGCGCCGTCGCAGTGGCACGGCGGCCCAAACAACTCACTTTGACTTGCCGGTGCGTGAAAGGGGCGGAGCGGTGCACCGGAAACGCAGAAAGTGAAGTGAAGGACAGAGTAGGAGAGAAGCATGCAAGATGCAAATATGCAGAAGACAGAATGCACGTGTCAGAAGCGCGTGTTTGTGCAGACCTCTCACGAGTTCTCAAAATCCTTCTTCTTCAGCTTTGTGCTTCATCTGCGGCCCGCAAGTGAGTTGCAGCATTCCGAAGCAAAGATCAGACATCACCATGAAATCGCGATCAACCTGCCCCAAACTTCGTAGTCGTGGTGTCGGTCGCCGTGCTGGTGGCACTTGTCTACGTATGGCTCCACTGCCCTGTCCCATCAGCCCCTAAACCACTGAGCTTGAACCGCAAGCCATATAATCAAATCTCCCAAACCCTCATTACAGAACCCTCACGGATCCTTTCAAACAAAAGGGAGCCTGTTCTATTTAAATTTATAGAACACGTAAGGAAGCCGATTCCAAACATTAAGCCATGCTGCGGGAGAGGATCTCAAAGAACTGCTCCCTGATCTCCGGGCTATACTCTCGCTGCACCTCACCGTGTCAGACTCAGAAAGTTTAAACCCTAAACCAGGGATTTGGGCTCTTGGACTTGACGAGTTAAACCTGAATTCAGTTGGACTCCATTCCCCGTCTTCTGACAAGTTTCGATTCTGTTGAGAGGTTGTTGGCTCGAACAACAGAACTTGGCTTTAGTTGGTTTTGTCAATTTCAACGTCTGAAAAAGCGCATTTCCAGAGGCTCGAACCCAAAATCTTGTACCTGGCTTAAAAGGCCCCCCCAATCAGAAGGATCCCAGAAAACTGTCCCTCAGCCCTAAACCCTAGAACCCTAAACCCTGAAACACTGAATCCCGCACCGCGTGAACCAAAGCCTCCAAGCCCCCAACGGCTGGTTTAGGGTTTAGGGTTTATAGGGTTTAGGGTTTAGGGTTTAGGGTTTAGCCCCAAAGTCTCACCAACGAGAAGCACCAGCGAACCTTCATGAGGAGCCGGAGGGCATCCATGGAGTTACCTCAGGGCCACATACACACGCATATCTTGATATATGTGTATATATACATATACACACACACTTACTGACAAGAGAAGTAAACAGCATCATCGCCATCATCATTGTCACCATCATCGGGGTTTTGGGTTTTGGGTGTCGGGTTCTGGGGGTTCGGGTATAGGGGTTTCGTTTAGGGGTTTGGAAATAGGGACGAGATCGAGAGCCAAATAATGCAGGGGCCTTCACTTTAGCCTTGCACCTTGAAATCCCTATACTTGGAGGATCATGGGACTTAGTAAGGTAACAGGTACCTTAATTGGGGTTATAAGTAGCTGCAAGTAGAGTTACCCTAATTATAACCCTAGTTGCTAAGTCCCATGATCCTTTAAGTAGACCCTAAACCCTAAACCCCATACATCCCTTTAAGGAGCCCTATAGATCCCTTTACAGAGCCCTTTAAGAACCCTTACTAAGTTCCATGATCCTTTAAGTACCCCCAACCGGGAAGATGCCGCATTGGCAGAACTGTGCTTTCCGAGGGAATCTTTGGGGAAAACCTCAGCCAAGCCTTTCTATGGGTGGTTGTCAAAATTAGGATCCCTTTTTGGGCCTATATTATAGTACGGCACCTAATATCTAGGGTACCCAAAGAGAGACCATAATTTTGACAAGCACCCATATACTTCAAGGCCAAAGTATATGCGAGCTCAGCTTGAGGCTAAGGATGTAGGGATTAGGCCTACTTTCAAGTGTTAATGCTCCGATATGATCCACAAACTGTGTAAGATAGAAGTCGGAACCCCAAGAGGACTGGAACCCTGGCGCGCAAGACACAGCAATCCCTATACATTCGGATACCCCCCCCCCAACCCCAGACAGTATGAAACCAATCCTTCTAAAGCCTTGTAGTTGTAGAGCACTGAATCTGAACCCTAAATCCTAAACCTACCTTAAACTCACCCTAAACCTTAACCCCCAACCTTAGACCTGAAGCCCCACGACAAGAGGCTCATCGGCTGGTTGAAGACGAACTTTAAACCAACCTTCGCCCATGCAGTACGGCTTGTGGAGGTGTAAGGCTAAAGGTGTAGGGGCTTAGGGATGTTTTGGGGGGTTTGAGGCTTAGGAGTCTTTTTCTCTGTTGGGGGGGGGGGAAGGTTTGGGGGCTAAGGTCGGTACTCAGCTCTGGGGCTGCTGGGTTTAGGTTTTTCAGGGTTACGATTGTCGGGATTAGGGTTGAGGGTTTAGGGATTCCAGTTGAGTTCAGAATCGGCTAAGTGGCGAGCAAGAGAAGGCGAGTTCAGGAAACTGACCAAGGTTAGGCGTATATACGGTTCACTACGGGTGGTAGTATGAGGCTTCGGAGTTCACGGGGTTTAGGTTTCGAGATATCCTTTTTCTGAGGAGCTCTCAACAACCATAACTCTGGTGAATGTGCGACAGCCGCGCAGTTCCCAAACCAAAGTAAAGTTTAGGGCCTTTAGGGGTTGCGGGTTCAGGGTTCTTATAGGTCCTTGCACAAAGGTTAGCCATTGTTAGAACAGAAACTTCAGGATACCATATTATTTACAATGGATCTCTAGTATGGTATTTTTAGAACTAAACCCCTGAACCCTGAAAACTTACAGAACCAACGCCACACTGGCCCCACTTCCCATACCCATAGGCTGAAGATAATTCGGCGCACACTATTACTGTCTGGTGCTTAGTAGGGAAAGGGGGAATGGATCCCTCTAGTAGTCCCTATAGAATCCCCGATAATAGTCTCCATAATCCATTCCCCCAATCTCTACTAAGCACCAGACAGAATCTCAGCTCGCTGGTTACAAGTTTCTTCAGGAGCCCAAGCAAAGAAAAGACCCTGCACTGACATAATCCAGCTAAAGACCAAACCAGGGTATAGGGCTATGGGCTTTGCCGAGTTTGGGGGCTAGATACTGCTTCAAAATGCCACATTCTAGTAGGGTTTGGCGTTTAGGGTCTCGTCACGAGAGTCACGCACGTTTCCGAGACCTTCTGCAGCCTCATGCTGAACCCTATATGGGTGGTCGTCAAAATTATGGTCCCATTTTGGGTACCCTTAATTTTAGGTGCCGTATTATATTAAGGACCCCAAAAAGGGATCCGAATATTGACAACTACCCATATAGAGCAGGACAAGCTCGGATGAAATCAAAAGAGCACTGCCAGGTTGACCCATGCACTAATACGGGCCCTTGTAGAACCTGTATAAGGCCCTTGTAAAGCCCACTTACTATTTCAAACATTAACAGTTATTCATCGAACCCTTCTAAACCCTAAGGGTCCATGTGCCCAAATAGTCTATACTGTGGGCGGGAGTACTTTAAGGCTATAGTATATACTAATGGGGCACATGGACCGTTTGGGAATTACAGCCTTATAGAACCCTGCGCCTGTAAAGCCCCGTGTAACCCTTCTGCCCAGAGAGCCCAATACCCCTTAAGCAAGGAATACGCCTTAAACTATATAGGGCTTCATATTACGGCTTAAGCTAGCTATTCCTTAATTCAGGGGTACGGGGCTTAAGCCATATTCCTTAACTACGGGGTCCCCCTGGGTACAGTCCCTGTGCAAGGATCACCCGAGGCCTCTGAGGCTTGCCAACTGATACCGAAGCGCGCGTCGGGAGCCTGGCGGGTTTCGGGATTACGGGTTAGGGATTTAGGGGTTTAGGGGTTAAGGGTTTAGGGTTTAGGGGTTTAGGGGTTTAGGGTTTAGTAAGGGGTTGAGGGGTTTAGGGCTTAGGGGCTTAAGGTTTAGGGACTAGGGTTTGGGGGGGAAAGAGTTGAGGGGTTGAGGATGTAGGGGTTTAGCGGTTACGGGTTTAGGGGCTAGAGTTCAGGGTTTAGGGGCTTAGGGGTTTAGGGTTTAGGGGTTGAGGGGTTTAGGGGTTTAAAGGGTTTAGGGGTTTAGGGTTATCACCATCATCATCATCATCGTCATCACCCTCGGTATCACAACCATCTCGATCACTATCACCAACACCATCAACCCTAAACCTTCAAACCCTAAACATTAATCACCATCAACATCGCCAAGGGCATCACAATGAGCCTCCAGATCTTGCAAGTCTTTACGGTTTAGGGCTTTTGGGGTTGAGGTTTCAAGATTTCGGGTTTAGGAAGCCCAACCCTGAGCCTGGCTTATGTTACGTTTAGGGTTTGGGGGTTTAGGGTTTAGGGTAAGTTCAGGTTTTAGGGCTCAAAAAGCCATCCCTTTCTGCAGGAAGTCCGTCCTGGTCTTTGCCACCAAACTTCTCGGGATGCTTCCTTGCAGCAATGATGGGCAGCTGTAGGAAAACCACACACACCCGAAAGACCAACAACACTGGCAATCCTGGAAGCAATAATCGTACTGCGTAAGACGATGAGAATCACGGCCATCTTCATGAAGTTACTACGTGGCTCTGACTGATGTTCATGACTATCATAAGAAGATGCTGATGTCAACCTGATGACAGCACAGACCGTCCCTGCGCATAGCTTGAAGAAAGCCTCGGGTCCCAAGCGGGTACTTACCTTTGGTTAGTAGGGAATGGAAGAATGGTAGTAATAGTAGTTATAATAGTACCCCATTCCTTCATTCCCTACTAACCAAAGGTAAGGGTATGATGCATTTACCTTTTCTAGACCTAAGAGTAACCTAGGAATAAAAAGGGTGCCCCTTTTTGGTTTAAAGGGGTTTATAAGGGAACCTAAGCCTCAAAAAAGGGAATAAGGGCCTACTCTGGGTCCTAGTTTTTAAGCTGGAGGAAGCTTTGCGCATCGCTCCGGTGCATCTATGTGTCGGGGAACACAGGATGCAGGTTCGAGGATTACGGACCTGGTTGGGTCTGGCACTTGGGGTTTAAGACCCACGGAACTGAATGAACAACTTAGTCGTAGGACTTGAGATTTGGCATTTCGGATTTTAGCCCAAAGACTCCAATTTCCCTTAATCAAGGAATATACCTTGAGTTATAGTAGGATCCCTAAAATCATTTGAGGTAGATTCCTGAATTAAGGGATATTGGAGTCTCTGGGAGTTTTGGGATGCAGGAGGCAGTGCCATTGGGACTTACGTATCGATTTACGGCGTAGGGTTTAGGGTTTAGGGTCTTCAAGGCTTCCAGGCCTTGTAACTGGTTTCAGAGTTTCGGGCAAAGGGACTTAACTTAATTAAACGATAGTAACGACGCAGCGTTATGCACTACAGATCCCTCTGATGGTAAACTTCGTTTACATTCCTTAGCAACGTTGCCTTTCCCACGATCCGAATGATATCCTCCGGCCCGACAGCTGTAATTGACCGGGAACCCATATCCGCCACGGAGCCTCTGCACAGCGAGTGAATTCCGAAACATGCACCCTAGACCCTAAACCCTACATTAATTTTGGAGTTTAGGGTTCAACTAACTAACTCTGTATTCAGGATCCTATACTAAGGTGTTCCAAAACAGGACCTGTAAGGAAGACTATAGGTAGTGAATCTCAAGGCTCCAGGACACTGTCTGGAATCGTCGATACCCAGCACAAAGCCTGATATACCCTTGCAACACAAGCGACCCCGAATTGTTGGCTGAGGGTTTGAGGGTTTTGGGGGTCTGAGGGTTGAGGCTTCAGGATTTAGGGTCCAGGGTTCAAGGTTGTGTGTGGGGTTCTGCGGGTTTAGGCGAAACCTAAACCCTAAACCCTTTTTGGCTCAACGAGCCACGAGCGAATCAACCAACTTTCCGCAAGAAGCTGTAACCTCCGGAGTCTCCCTTCCATGAGACCCTACTTGGAGGATCATGGGACTTAGTAAGTAAGGTTATAAGTACCTTAATTGGGGTTAAAAGTAGTTGTAAGTAGAGCTACCCTAACTATAACCCTAGTTACTAAGTCCCATTATCAGTAAAGCTCAAACCCTTGAGGCCCTACGGTTGAGGATATAAATCCTGCATTACCCATAAGAAGGAATATACCATAATTCCCATAGTTTAGGGTCCTTAAGGTAATGCAGGATTTATACCATCAACCGTAACCCCTCAACCCTACACCCAAAAATGACAATAAACCCTAACACCTTGAAGCCCTGAAGACCTAAACCCTTAACTTAAACCCTACCTATAGTCTCCATTGTCGCTGCTTGCTCGGGTTACCTCATAGGATCCTTAATATATACTTGGTTAAACCACAAAAGGAACTACAAGGGAGACTACAGGTAAAAACTACAGTCTGCCATGGTGCTTGGTGTACTTGTCCATCTGCTCCCCCCAGGTGCCGGGGGACTCCTTGCAGCTCCACTTCCTGGACCCCAGAGACCAGAGAGCCCACTACCCCTCAATTAAGGAATATAGCTTAAATCATAGTATGAAGCCGTACATAATTTAAGCCATATTCCTTAATTGCCTTATAGATCCCTTGAAGGAACCCCTTAGGCCTTAAGCCATACTCCTCAATTAAGGGGTATTAGGCTCTCTAGGATGGCGATCCGGAGCCAACGTCTGCTGGAGGTCTGTTCCATAAGTCATATAGGGTTTAGGATTGAAGGTTTAGGGCATACTGTTGATGATAAAAACCCTGCATTACCTTAAAAACCCTAAATTATGGTATGACTATTGTGCAACAATGTAAATGCAGCCCAGAACCCTGTTCTACTTATGCAGGCTCCTATATTACCGACAAAGCTTCGAAGGGCTTGAGACTTCATGATACACCAGCGGGCAACGTGTTCCTGCCGTCTGCCATAGGTCTATACACGTCAAAACTACAAGTTGCGCGCTCAGGACTGGATTCAAGGGTCAACACTCCCAGATGCATGCGCAGTCAACATCTGAGGTTCTGAGCATCCCAAGCCGCTATCTGTGGGTCTAGGGTTGAGGGTTGAGCATGTAATCGTTCTCGGCAGCATCATCACGATCAGATGGGCAATCAGCCTCATTGCGAGCTATGATTTGCATCCCCATGGCAATCTTCATAATCATCTGTATCCCTTGTATCACCAGCAGCATCTTATCTTAATCATCATCATCATCTTCTTCATCATCATCATCACAATCATCGCAACGGAAGGCATCACCGTCAAAATCAACGTCATCGTCATCATCATCATCCTCACATTCATCATCTATATCACCATCACCATCATCATGGTGATCATCGTCATTGTCATACTGTTGTCCTTATTCTGAATAAAAGCACAAATTATTTAGATTTGCGAAGATCCAGTGCCAGTGATATCACATTCGCTGCCTCTAAATTTCCAGGGAACGGAACACTTGGAAAGCAAGACCATACGATAGACTCTGATAGACAACTCGACACAGGCCTTACTGGCCGCATGTGGGAACATCGGCTTTTGGTTCGCGATGCCAACATGGGAGGGAAGGTAGTGAACCCCAGACCCCCATAGTTTCATATCTCGGGAACTCACATTCCGACAAAAAACGTGGCCATCACCCTAAGGGTCCAAAGAGGGTCTTGGGCTTTCTGAATCGGCTTTGGGGGTTAGGGTTCGGGATCTCCTGTACTGAACTTAGAACCCTAGCAAAAATTATAATTCCAGCTGTTTCTTAGGGATTATTATAACCAGAAATTTAAAAATATTTCTAAGTACCCCTAAGTCTCACTTAAGGCAAGAAACCTCTCGGGAAGTGCTGCGCCAGGAGAGTTGTCATCCGATCCCGGGAGCATGGCCTTGCCGATGCCAGGGAGCCTGAAGGGATGGGTTTAGTACAGAGGCCTCGACAATCACCTATACTATTGTGGGGGGTTCCTTATGATAATTGTAGCATGATATAACCCCCAAACCCTATTCTAATTATTAAGGCCCCTATATTAGTAAGATTTTAGAGTTTACGGCTGCAGGGCTGCAAAGCTTAGGCATTCGGGTTCCTTAGGGGGGCACTATGTAGCGTGCAAATCCCAGAGTTGCGGGTTCCAAGAGCTGTCGGTTCAGGGTTCCTTGCTCAAATGCTCGACAAGCTCGAGACGCTAGACCTAAGTCACCCCCTAGACGGTACCATCATCATGAGCCAGCTATAATTGCCGAAGGTACTGCCACTGCCGCACTGCGCTTACTCCTACTACTCCTGCTCCTACTGCTGCTGCTACTACTACGACGACGACGACGACGGCGACGACCACGACCACCGCCACGCCGCCACCACCACCGTCACTTGGACTGCGAACACAAAACAACTGCCGTCACTACTACCATTATGATCGCAGCAACAAGCCCCAAAGCCCTAAACTCACACCCTGAACCCCCCCCCCCAGAGAGCCCAATATCCCGTAATTGAGGAATAGGGCTTAAATTACATAGGGCCTCATTTTATGATTTCAGCTCTATTCCTTAAGGTATTGGGCTCTCTTGGCTATGCTAGGATCGGTCCGAGAGTCTCTGGCCGCAGGAAAAAGGGCAAGCGCGTCACAGTAAAGTCTATGGGCTCATCAGCAAACATGTCCTCAAGCTCAAGGAGGGGAGGGTTTAAGGTTCCCTAGGAATCTAAGGACTCATATATTCAGGCTTTTGGGCCCAAAGACCATACTAAAAAAAGGCTTTTGGGTTATGTTGATCCCTAGGGGTTTAGGGTCGAGGAGGGGAGGGCTAAGCCGATCTCGACTTGCTTTCGTGAGTTCAGTATGGGGCTCAGTCGAACGTAATCTGTTCCCTCCCCCTCCACAGGGATGCAGGAATGCAGGGCAGAGCTCTCACTTCCGGATTGCAACTCGCTCTGTTTACATGTTGGACGACACATGGCCGACTATAGCCACATGGCAGCAAAGGGGCAAACAAACCGCAGCAGAAGTCTTTCAACAAACAAAAGCAGTGGAAGCCTAGCTCTATCTATGGAGGTTGAGACTAAATTATTACCATTATATATCGTGCAGGCAAGCTGCCATCGCTCGCCGCAGCCAGCGATGTTGGATCCACCCGTGGGGTCCTGATGTACTTAAAGGATCACGGGACTTATCAACTAGGGACATAATTAGGGTAACTCTGCTTATAACTACTTATAACCCCAATTAAGGTACTTATAACCTGACTTACGAAGTCCCATAAACCTCCAAGTAGGGTTCGACATGAGTGGAACAGCCCCAGACCTCAGCTTTATATTTTGTCGCAGTGTGTGCTGGTTTGCTGCTTCTTTTCTCAGGACGTGGCGCTGCACCTGCCCTAAACCCTAAACTCCTGAAGCCCTAAACCCCCAAACCCTAAACCCCTAAACCTCTAAACCCTAAACCCCTAAAACCCTAAACCCCAAACCCGAGCACTTCGCAGAGCAAGGAAACCGCACCTGTCAGCCCCTGGCCTCTCTCAAAGGGTCCTACTGTTGATGATAGAAATCCTGCATGACCTTAAGAACAGGAATCTATGGGAATTATGGTATATTCCTTATTATGGGTAATGCAGGGTTTATATCATCAACCGTAGGTACTGTGATGGGGGGTACTTGCCCAAATCATACTAGTAATTCCTAATATAGAAACCCTACATTTTACTATCCTAAACCCTACACCCTAAACCAAAACCCTAAACCCTAAGCCCTACACCCTAAACCCCTAGTAAAAAGGTACTTTGGACCCTGTGGGTCTCTCTTTGTGCTGCCGAGCCGCAGGCAAAATCTGACAGCACGCAGATGTTTGCCTCGGTTTTTGCACGGAAGTAGTTCCTTTCTGGGGTTCATATATAGAATCCTATAAGGTAATCCCAAAAAGGAACTACCATGGAGCCTTGGGGTAGGGGCTATTCCGGTCCCGAATGAGATCGAGCCCCCGCAGCTAGAAAAAGGTTCAACGCAAGGATGAAGCCCTTTACGAACTCCGTGCTTGGCCCATCCCATCACCAGCTAGTGAACACTAGGGTTTAGGGTTCGGGGGTTTCAAGTTTAGGACCAAATTTAATTCAGGGATTTGGGCCGGGGCACGAGGTTGCAGGTGCTCATTTGTGCGCCTCCTAAAAATGGGGCCTGCAATGGCTTGTGTTTCCGGGTCAATGTCCTAGAACCCAATGCAGGTCGGGGCGCTAGCTATGCCAGGACCCTGGCTTGTGCAAGCACTTCGATGGAGGGGAACCTTATCATCACTATCATCACTACATGACTGCTGCGCTGTGTTTAGATACTGCGACTACTGTTACTAATTACCATCTGTTACCATCTTTTGGCATGAGCTAATCACGAAACCCTGCACAACGCAGCAGTAACCAGCTATCAGTGCTACCCACAAACAAACCCTTTTCGAGGGGTCTTGGGAAAGCCATTTACACCTCACTTTTGCAAAACAACAAAAACAGGCGACAGGCACTCTAGCTCTGGAGCCTACAACCCTCAAAGCAACGAGCACCTATGAAGCACCGCCCTGCACCCCAAATCTCTAAAGCCTTGCTACAAACCATGCCAAAACTCCATTCTGTAATGCCTATCCGTATAAAGTAAAAGCCAGAAAGTTGGAACATGATTATCCTAAACCCTTTATGGTAAATTATAAGGTATCCTACCCCGAAACCATATTCCAACTTGCTGGAGTTCCCTTTAGAACCCTGCTGCCAATCCCGAACCTGAACCCCAACCATCCCAACCTTAAACCCTAATCCCACGTAGACCCCCAACTACCCTCCTAGACCTAAGAGTAACCTAGGAATAAAAAGGGTGCCCTTTTTGGTTTAAAGGGGTTTATAAGGGAACCTAAGCCTCAAAAAAGGGAATAAGGGCCTACTCTGGGTCCTAGCCTCTAATGTATCCTAAATACCCACTATTCAGGACCACAAGGACTCTATTAAAGGGCTATTGGAGGGTCCTCCCTCGGCCCTGAACCTTAAACTCCAACCTTCCTAAACCCTAAACCCTAAAAAACCCTAAAGCCCCAAACTCCCTAAACCCTAAACCCTAAAAAACCCCAAAGCCCCAAACTCCCTAAACCCTACGCCCTAAAAGACCCCAAAGCCCCAAACTCCCTAAACCCTACACCCTAAAAGACCCCAAACTCCCTAAACCCTAAACCCTAAAAGACCCCAAACTCCCTAAACCCTAAACCCTAAAAGACCCCAAAGCCCCAAACTCCCTAAACCCTACACCCTAAAAGACCCCAAAGCCCCAAACTCCCTAAACCCTAAACCCTAAAAGACCCCAAAGCCCCAAACTCCCTAAACCCTAAGAGACCCCAAAGCCCCAAACTCCCTAAACCCTAAACCCTAAAAAACCCTAAAGCCCCAAACTCCCTAATTAAACCCTAAAAGACCCCAAAGCCCCAAACTCCCTAAACCCTAAACCCTAAAAAACCCTAAAGCCCCAAACTCCCTAAACCCTAAACCCTAAAAGACCCCAAAGCCCCAAACTCCCTAAACCCTAAGAGACCCCAAAGCCCCAAACTCCCTAAACCCTACGCCCTAAAAGACCCCAAAGCCCCAAACTCCCTAAACCCTAAGAGACCCCAAAGCCCCAAACTCCCTAAACCCCTAACCCCCCAAAAAAAGCCTTGAAGCCCCGAGCTCCTGAGGCCGGGAAGCTGTCACTCGCTTTCGGCACTTCTTCTTGTGCTCCCTCCAGTGGCTCTTCTGGCACCTAAAGAAAGGGCCCTTGACGATTAGAGGTTCCCTTAAATCTATAAGGGCGACGATCAGGGCTAGTCTAGGGTTTTGGGGTTCCTTATGAACCTTATCGTATAGTATACCCACAAACCCTAGTCTGAGTCTAATTATCAAGGCCCCTATATTGCAATGCTTGTAGGACTCAGGCTTAGGACATGGTTTTTAAGGCAGACAGTTTAGGTCTTTGAGGCTTAAGGGCTTAGGATTCCGGGTGCTGCTAGGAATGTTGTCGGTGGCCGCTGAAGCTTGCCCACTTAATTCTAGTGAGGCCTGCAACCAGGGCCAAGATTCAGACCCCTCGACGTGATCTTGCCAAGGCCCCCTGCACTCTCGCAAGGTTTGCCTTTTATCTGCCCCTCTGTTTATCAGAACTTGGTGCTCCGAAACAACCAGCCTAACCAGCACACCTCACAAGCCCATCAATGAAGCCTCAACCCTAATTAGCCTAAACTCTAAACCCAAGTCTGTGACCCTAAACCCTAAACCCCTGAACCCTAAACCCGTTTGCAGCCTGGGAACTCATAGCTGCAGTATTTAGCAGCTTTGCAGGTGCCACACCTTGTCTACAAAGCAGTACGTGGAGGATACGCAGGGTAATTAACAAATACCGTCAGCATCAATTACAGTGATGCATTCGTCTAGTTATGTATGCAAATAAATGAACAGATAAAATAAATGGAAAACAGTAAACCACAGAATATAAACGTGTGTATATTCATAGATACGCATACTGCGTATGCTCCAAGTAGGACATGGTCGGAAGTGGGCTTGGGGGTGCTGTCCGGCTGCTCCCAACCCTAGGCCAATGGAAGCTCCAAACCGTTTAATACAGAGGGTTAAGCAGTTTAGGGTCTAGGGGTTTAGCGGATTGTCTCTAGATTTCTAGAATCCAAGAGCTCATGTGCAGATCCTCGCTTTAAACCGAGGGCTGTTGCCAACCGGGGTCAGTGACCGTGATACACTGCAAAATCGAAGGGCCCTTTACAAACACGTAGGCCACTCAAAAGCGTCGTCCTACTTGCTGGTATAGGCATCTTGCAGCCGTCCAGATCGAAGGCACGAACCTACATCCGCTTTAGGGCGAGGTTTTAAGGAAGTGTCAAAGGTTGTAACGATTCGGGTCAGGGGCTCGGGTTGAAGCACTACAGTGAGCAGACCAGGGACCTCCCAAAACAGTCAAGAACAAACACCCTAAACCCTAAACACCTGAACCCCAAAGGCTAAATCTACACCCTGCAAACTGCTGAATGAGCCTTGACGCGCTCGAGCACTATAAAGACTATATATTAAAAAAACCATCAGTAAGTAAATCTGTATATATATATATATATATATATATGCACACACGCACAGTGTTTACTAACTAAACCTGAAAATAGTTAGTCTGACATGTCGCTCTGATCCGAGTGTTGTGCTTCACCAGTAGAACACACGTCGCCTGCACTTTGGCTGATGTCGGTTTAACAGCTTACGACATGATCCTACATCACAGAGAACCACACACACTACCGCACATGACAATGAGATGTACCCTGTGTCTGCACATGCACGTGTAAAATATTTGTTTGTATATACACGCTGCAGAAATGTGTCAGCATGCATGTATGTTCGCATGCACGCATGTAACTATCTATCTACCTACCTCTATATATATATATATATATATATATATATATATATATACACGTATGTGTGTACGCATGTATGTATGCTTGTATGCATGTGTGTATGTATGTATGTATGTATATGCATATGTATATGTATATGTCTATGTCTAGATCTATGTATGTATATATATATATATATATGTCTATTTCTATGTCCATGCATATGCATATACCTATAGGCATATATATATATATATATATATATATATTATGTTTAATTTAAAAACATACATATCTAAGTACATTCATGCAGACATAAATACATACATGCCTACATACGTACATGCATACATGCATACATACTTACGTATATGTAGATACATAACATTACGTTACAAAGCACATGTGCTTTATGCAATGTTGTACATAATAATCTAGGTAGTGCATGTAATTGCCGTGATGCATGTCAAGAAGGTTCAATGTGTACCCACTTGCATGCTTGCATATTTACTTGCCTACTCGATGCCGAATTCCCTCCATCTCTCACACCCGTGGTCGAAATCAAAATATTTAGACTCTGGTTTCACGTAACGTACTCGTACTTGGTTGAATCGTAGCTCATTACAAAGAGCATCCGAAGTCATCGCAACTGTTGGCTTCTCCTAATTCGGTATGACCCCACCCGACTGAAACCTCGAATTTACCCT